TCAATTAGGGATCTTCAAGGGCAGCGGATATTCTTTTTATCTTATTTTTTGATTGAGATGGGCGTGGCTACTTTTGTAGGCGTGTTGATTGGGGGTTTGTATTTCTGTTCTATTCTATTCTGAACCGTGACTGTGTCTTCTGCGTTAGTTATACTGCCCTGCGCTGTACTGGGTTGGTTGGGTTCTTAGACTAGTGGCTTGTATAGATAGATATATTGATTCCTTTGTGACTGGGGGAGATTTAAGATGAGGCGGATTAATTAATTTTTTTTTTTTTTTTCACTTTATGTAAAGGACGGAGGAAAATGAGAGTCTTAGTTTATGTGTAAACATACATCTACATACATATATCCATGTGTATGTGTGGACAGTTAATCAATGCCAGCAGCAAGCAGCAGAGTACACAGAAAGTAAAACAATAGGTGAAAAAAACTTTTTTGTATTGATGCATTTCTTCTTATTGCTTCCATAACTCTACCCCTTTGTTCTGCGTTTGCCCCTTGGATTTGTTTGTGGCACGGGTAAAATAGGGGGGGGGGGTGGTTTGTGGTATTTTATGTCTAGTTTTTGAAAAGAATCTCCCAACTCCCCCTGTTTCTTTGTTAACGTAGTAACTGAGCTTATTGTTTACCGGTAGAAGTACTGTTTTCCAAGGAGATATATACGTACATCTGCGTTCTGTTATTGAAGGAATATGGGGAGGGAAGAAAGGGTAAGACATATAGGTCTAGGTTAGGTATTCGCGAAGCATGTATTTTATCTAGTTACCTTGAAGTTGATGACGTCGTGTAGGAGCGGGCAAGATCATCATAGTTTACTTAAGACAATTGGAGCATCCCCACCGAGCGAGCAGCCAATTCAAAATATCTTCTAATTAAACTTCTCATCCACCTCAACGCCCAATTATTCCACCAATTCGCAATAAGAAGTCTAGAAACTCCGCATAGATGAAGGAAAGACTTGAGCTCTCAATAAATGCTATTAAAAAGTAAGAAATATCATCAATTTCTGAGGCTGCATGTCTTTTTGAGGTTGTCTCATTCCACTCTCAGTCAGAGACTTAATGGGGATGCTCGTTCAGGGGTGGATTACATTAGTTAACTATTAACCGTGCTCGTGGCACGGTTAGTTATGTCTGCCATTTTGCAATAACTGTATTGCTTCTTACTGATAGGGCTTCGCCAGCAGTCATTGGCTTTGGAACCATCACAGTGCTTCAGATCTTCTGCAATGATCTAACCCCATTCATTCAGTCATCTAAACATGAATGCTCTATCCCATCCCTACCTTAGGAGGAATTGAACTATGGATTCCAAGGTTCATGTCTGGCGCTCATCCTGCCCATCAGTGCCAATCTTGCTGACCATCTTACACCACCATTAAAACTGCAAACAACATCACTCAGCACGTGCGACTGCAGCGCTGCATCAATGGATAAGATTCACTTAGGTGCGTCTACTTGGTTTGGAAGGGATGTTGATCTTTCATATTTCTTGATAGTGAAGGGCATCCTCTTTGCGAGGGGAGGGGAGTCAGGGCCATTTAAAATGGCGGGGATGTGGCGGGGGCATGGACGCTGGGATGATCAACGTGCAAGATGCGAGATGCGCTGGCCTTGGTTGTGGTTCTGAAGATAGAACATCTGTCAATAGTCCTGGCACGTATGAGGCCCGTGAACTTTTGACACTTGCTGACGAGGTGCTTGAGGGTTCGTAGGGCCAATAGATGTGGTACGGAATTGGCGACGTTGGAGGGTGGTCGGGAGAGGTGTGCGGGAGAGATCGTGGGGTGGAAGTTGGTTTGACATTTGTGGCCGTGGTGCGCGAGTCCCCAAGTAAGAGATTTGGTTCTACCAATTAACAGCAGGCAGTTGGAGGATTTCCGCTACATTTTGATACCAAAGAACATCTCAATCTCCTCCATATCAAAGCCACCAGCTTTGAGTTCACCGCGCGTGTCAGAGAGACATCGGATTTCGCCAGCTGAGAATACGTTATATTCCACCAAGACTTAGCTCACTCAAGTAATCATTCAGTTTCGGTCCTCGGCGGCAATTTAATTCATCGAGCCATCCTGTGAAGGGTAGGAAAGATCAGTGGTCAGTGATTGTCCGGAACCAAGGAGTTCTTGGAAATGAGTTTGATTTTGTCAACATATAAAGTCCGCCAATGATCAAGTCGAGCCAGCGATGCATGATGCGGTGAACTTGCACTACGGTTCAAACTTGCGGGGCACCCATAGCTTAGATGTGGCCGCTTCTTTGGGAATATATGTAGATATATATATCGGGTGGGTCAAACCTGGACTGTGTTAGCTCTGGTGGGGGGGAATGCTACATACTCATTTTCCTCCTGTTAATGAAATGATGTGAGCTGGTGTAAATTGGCTGTGGTAAGACTGCAACCTCAAGTTGTTGGGTGGGCTGCGGAATTCCTTCTGCGCTATCTTTGGGATTTCAAAGTAGACAGTAAAAGCTGGGATTCAGTTTCAGTGGGCGAAAGTTTGCCGTGCTTGAACTGTCGACACTGCCTTAGAGGCCGGCCTGATATCATACCAAGAGCGCATAAATCTATAGATTATAGACGAGCATAGCACTGCAAAAAAATACTCAGGTGCAAGAAGACTTGGCCAGAAGTATGATTGGAGACCAAGTTTATAGTTATATGCTTTGTTTTAATCAGCAAAGTGCAAGCCTTCGATCAGGACAACCACATATGGGCATCTCAGGGCATTGGATAAAACATAGCCATGTCCACTGGAGATTTGGCGTACATCAGATACATTCATGCCCAACATTTTGAAGTAGTCAAGCCCAGAGATGATTCAAGCAATATGGCCGTTCGAGTCTTTGAAGCGGAGCAAAAGATCGTGTATATGTAGGGCCTTTTCCGTGCTATGCACTTTTCATAAGGCAATGTTCCTGGATTGGTTTCGGCCGACCCAGTGTAATAGGGATCCGCTCAATCCGTGCCTGTATTGCCTCCTGAGATAGATTCTTCCAGCGCTGCTCCCATACCTTAATAGCTTCTGCCTGGCTCTTTGGTGGCCCCTTACAGGTAGTTCTTCACTTCATCCATGGCCAGCAGGGTTCAATTGGGTTAAGATCAGAGGAATTACCACATCAAAGCATTCAACAGACATTGTATATATTATAAATTCAGTATTGAATGTAATGGTCATGAGAAGGAGCTTTATTCTTTTTAAACAATTGTGCCTGGGTGTTCTTTTTCACGCTCTTTAGCAAAGAGAAAGAGGTTTAGAATGAGGATTTTGATTTGATATCAATATCAATTTATATCACCACCACTGCCACAAGAATGCTTATCTGTTTTCTGTTTTCATTTCCATGTAGATTTTATGCTGTGGAATTGATGAAGATTCAGCCATCTCATCCCATTCCCTATTTCTCATTTCTCTTTTATAACTGGCTCTAATTCCTCATTTAAGATATCAATAATCTTTAGAGTTTCAGTTTTTTCTAAAGCAGTCTCAGAAAGCCAGCAATGACAGAGCTCTTTCTTATCATAAAAAAAAATATCCTCAAAATATGAACTTAGAAGAGCTCCTCCATTTTTCTCAAATACAGCTTTGTACAAAGACCTTCTCTTTGATTCATTATATTTGATATCTGTCACTTCAATGAAGAAGAATAATAGAGGTTTTATTGGATCAAATAATTAATTTCCAATCTTCAAGAGTTTAATCTTTATATTCAAGACAGAATTGAAGTCATTGCTGCATTATTTTCTTAGTTAATCCAGGTTTTTATGTTAACTTTGTCTTCTGAAATCCAGCAGTCCTCAGAATTCTCCACATTGTAATGGCAGAAATGTTGAATCCTTTCAGAATGAGTTATATCAAAGTGTGTGATTTTTCATATATTAATGATTAGCAAGATTCTGCGGAATTAAGGTTTCATGGCGTTTTATGGTGGCGCCTTGGCTAAGTTAAGCCCGTTGTTTCTGTCAGCTGAAGCTCCACATCTCTAAGGGAGAATTCATATCGAGAGTATCACCTCAAACCGTGGAAGCCTCCAGACCCAACGGCCGCTCCCAGCTGCTAATTGGCAACGTGGTGTCTTCTTGCATAGAGGAGGCCGGTTATTTGCCAGACTTTCGCGGTTCAGTCATTGTGTTCCCACATACCGATCCCCGTCCTACTCAACGGTTCCATCATTGTTGGGAAACATGAACATGTGGGGCAGGGGTTGCTCAGCCACTGACAGACGCTAATCGTCTCTTCAATGCAAGCAGCGCAAGCAGACAGGGTTTTGCAGCAATACATGCATGCATGTGGTTCCAGAAAAAATTAACTGATACGCCTTTTGCCAGCGCCGTTCAAGGATTATATACAAACCACGTGATATGGCGCAAGTGTGACTGGGATGAGGCGCCCGCTCTTCTTTTTGCATGTCTGACTTTGGACAACATGCTCATTTAGGACGCCTCAGCAGATGACTCTCAAAGCAATCCAACATTTCGCAAATAATAAATGCTAATTTCAGAATATCAGGAGCACGATAAACTCGGCTACCTGCCCCCGAGGCTGAAAGCTCTGGCAGCCTGTAGCGGCAGGCGAAGAAAATAATACACCTTGAATAGAAGGAAGGTTTTCTTAGCTGAAGATCTACGGCGCTTAGGTCCGTTCTGTGATCGGCATCCATTGATTGCTTGGACAAAACCTAATCGCAGACGAAAAGGAACGGCGGTTCTCTGTCGGTCGCTTTTATCCAAACGTTGGGTTTGTCTAAGTTAAAAAGCACGACATTAGGACTAAACATAACGGACACTCAAATCTTAAATAATAATAGTAATAATAATTTAATAACAATAATAATAATTTAATAACAATAATAATAATTAAATTAAAATTAAATTAAATTAAATTAAAAATAATAAATAACAATAAAATAAAATAAAATAAAATTTTACACTAAATGAAATTATATTTTTATAAAAATCCAGTTAGGTAAGATAAACCCTCAAAAATGGCAAATACAACTACTTCCCATATTTTACAAACACCTTCCTCTTCCACCCATCCTCTCCCACAAACGCCTCCTGCTCAAGCCGATAGTTGCCCAGCCACGGCAACAACTGCGCCCAGATGAGCCAGTAAATACCACCGGCAACCACAATCGCGATACCCACAACGCAATGGAGGTAGTAGGGCAGTTGGTTGTAGACATTCTGGCCTTCTTCGGGTTGTACAAAGGGTGTAATGACAAGAAAGATGTTGCTGAGGCCAAAGAAGATTACCACTGGCAGCGTCGCTCTGACGGGAGGGTTCCAGTTGTATTTTGACCGGTTGAGGTAGAGGTGGATAAGGCCGGCGGCGACGAAGGTGTTGATGATAGAAAGGGGGTATGAGATTACACTGTGTGTGTACGTTAGTAAATTAAGCTTTTGTGGGAAGGCTTCGTGGACAGCGGGAGTAGGTGGGTGGGTTGTGGATGCATACTTAAGAATAAAGTTGTACGCATCACCAGGTGGGGGTGCTAGCATGATAATGACCGAGACAAGCCAATGCTCGAAAAGACCGGCGAGAGGCGCGTCGAGGGGTTTATTGCTGGCCCATAACCGAGAGAATGGGAGAATACCCTCACGACCAAGCTCTTGGACCACTGTCATGATATTAGAGAGAAGTATGTAGCAGAGATGCTGTGCGGAGGTTGAGACATACAACGGCCTTGCGAGAAGATAACACTGAGCACATTGCCAAAAGCTGAGAGCGCGACGAAGACGGATAGTGCTCGTTCAGCCTTGGAGCCAAAAACATTTCGGAAAAAGGATGCGGCCAGAACACGGCCGGAGGAAAGTATTTCATCCTTTGGTACTGCAGCGAAATAGGCAACCTATCATTTAACCATGTGAGCAGGGGAAAAAAATCAATTCCAATTAAGGGGAAGGGGAGAGATAACCATACATTTACCAACATGTACAATGTCGACACAATCCCCAGCGCGAGAGGGGCGGCGATCTTCAGCGTCCGTACAGGATTCTTAGTCTCGCTCAATGCATAATTGGCATTGTTGTACCCAATATAGCTCCAAATGACATTATATAGGGCCGTGACCACTCCATATGCGCTTCCCCTGGTTCCTTCAAAGGCATTATGGAAGTTGTTCGGCTTCTCAACTTTGAGAGCGCCTCCCAGTGCAGCCCAGCCTGCCACGGCAATTATAACGATGATAATGAGTTTTATAGTGCCTAGCAGGTTTTGTAGACGCAGTCCCCATTTCAAGGCAAGGCCGTGGATTAAAATTGCAGTGGTGATGCAAGCAAGTCCAACACCTCGCTGATTCCACCGTGTTACCTCGACCTGCGCTGCGTGCAGGATGTACTCGCCAAAGATGACGGAGTTAGATCCCGCCCAACCTGCTCTCAGTTAGCATAAATGGTGGGCCATCAACGGCAAGAAAGTTTAACCTGCCTCACCTAGGAAAAACACATATCCAGCATACATGCACGATGTCAGGAACCGTGGCTTCCGGAACACGTATTCCAAGTAATTCTTTTCTCCGCCGTTTCGAGGAATCCCAGTTCCAAATTCAATGTATACCGCCATGCCCGCGGCAGCAATGATCATGCCCGCAACCCAAATAAACAGGGACAGCCCAACACTACCTGACAGAGCAAAGATACTACTAGGCGTCGCAAAGATTCCAGTGCCAATCATGCGGTTGAAGATGAGGAACACAGCTGACGTGAGTCCTATCTGACGTCGTGCAGAACCTATTTGATATGTGCCATCAGAAGTTCTGTACCAAAGGTCAACCAAACAGTGGACATAAGCTAATTATTTCATAGCTACGCGCATCAGTGCATTGTATTCCACATACCCTCTGACTGTTCCTCCTCCGCCGGAGTGACAGCTTCCTTGAAGTTTTGATTGCTTGAAGATCGCCATATCCCAGACAGCCAATGGTTGGCCTCGGTTGCCATCTTAGGTTTGCGGAATCCGCAGTGTCAGCTGGAATGCTATTTGTGCGGTCAAAAACAATGTTTTAGTGAACGAATGAATAAAACATAGAGGATCCGGAGAAAAAGGAAAAAAGGGAATTTGATGGACTGATTAATAGACAGAGCCAACATCACTCTGTACAGATGAAAATATCCTGTCAAGACAAAAGAAAAGTCGCAATTGCTATACCACGAAGACGCAACGCTCGACGAAGCATTAAAGGAGTTTGTAGTTCTTATGGCGTGTCTAAACCTAGTCAAGGCGAAATGGAGAGACGCCAGCAACAGTCCCTAATCAACGAGGAATGCTATATCATCGCTATCCAATAGCATTTTTCCGATAAGAAAATTCCGCTGCCGAAATTGTGACATGTTCCGCTTCGATTTTCTTTCTTCCTTTCCTTTTTTTTTATTTTTTATTTTTTTTTATTTATTTTTTTATTTTTTTTATGTTTTTTATTTTTTATTTATTTATTTTAATTTATTTTAATTCATTTCATTTCATTTCATTCATTCATTTATTTTTGGAGTTCACAGCTCTCGAAGATGTACCCGTTAATTCCAGCGCAAAACTTGCTTTTCAGATTTCTTGTAGAGCGACATACTACAGATTTTCAGGCCTGGAATCAAAATGAGACTCGCCACAGCCAGTCGCCATCGCTTAGCTCACTGACATCATAAATGCCCCTTCATGTTTGAAAGACTGTGGCTGACAGTCAGAAAAGAGAAACGAAGAAACATATAAATAGTAGTAAGGGAAAGAAATATATAGATGATGACGAATATCAGCGCTCGTTCGTTCGTTCGTTCGGCGATGGGAGCATCCGGGAAGGGAGGTTGGCTCCTTCGGACGGTCTATCCAGATCACGTGCAGCAGGCGGAACCGGTCAAGACCGTGAGTTGCTCAATCAAAAACATGGTCTATCACTTCATACCTTCATACTTATCCTTCAAGCGTCCATTTGAGAGGAAATTCAGAATCTCGATTTATAAAATATCCAAATATGTTCGTAGATTCGAGATCATCAAGACCATTAACTCTTCTTCACCTCCAAACCAGCTTACTAAACATGTTCTAACTCTGTGACAAATGTGACAAATCTTCCACACTCTGAGAAAATAGACTCTCAATACATTTTCTTATATTCCTTGAACACTTCGTCCAATCACAACCTTTGAGAATTGAGAGGGTTTAACTTCGAATTCTGATATCATTTATCTGGAGTGAATAGTTATTGGACAATCTTCGTACAACTGCCAACAATGCTTACCAAAGCTTAAATGATATGAATAGTTTAACTAGATACAACAGATTCACTTTTATATTAACCATCTCGACTCGAGCTTCACCAATTCGTGCTGAGCAGATTGGCCAAGGAGACCCGGCAATCGTAAAAGACAAACGTACGCCAATTGTGCCTTGACCTCAATTGAGTCTTCTGTGTAGAGGGGGGGACAAAATGCAAGTGTGGATAAATGGACATCCTCTTACCTGGCTAATGACCACCCTCAAAAATTAAACTATTTAGGTTCGGGCTGGCGTGCATGCATCTTTACATTTACAGAAAACTTGTTAAACTATTCAAACACCACTCGTTTTTGTGTTCTGAAAACATATAACATATCAATAGATATGTGACTCTATTCTGCGCCTTAGAGGCCTGCCTCAAAAGTCTTAGACATCTTTCTGCATGGAACTTCGTAGTGAGCTCCTTTTTCTTTCTAAGAGGCCCCCTGTTGTATAACTATCTATATTATTAATAGGCCTTCAGAACATGGAACAGAGCCATTATATCAAAAGTAGACCTCTGAGAGTATTATAACTCCAATACTTAGAAATAAGAAGAGTGGAATTGAATGCAGAGCTTACTTAATTCATAAAGTCTGCTGATAGCTATTTTTTTTTTTTGTGTGTGCTAATTTGTAACTATACATCATGCTGGATTCAGGTCATTGTTGGACACTGGATGCTCTCATGGTAAATGACATGGAGCCTCACACACTTAAATGGATTAATCCTCGGTGCTTGTGGCGTTCAAATCAGAAGTGACTATGGGCCAGCTCACAAGTAATGAAAGTTGATTTTTCTGACGTGTCAGAAGCCAGCTCAGGGGTGTGTGTCATTTTGTCAATCTTTCAAGTTACTCCGTACAGTGTTGAAATTGAACTGCAATTACCCCGCTTTGGAACTGCACTGAAAATTGAGGCACAGTGATTCATATCTATTTTGGCGGCGTCAAATGCAAGAGTTGACTTGAGTATTTCTATTGAAATTACGGAGTATATCTTGCAATTCTTTTGTGACCAAAATAATTATATTGTCTTCTGCTTTTTGAATCTAACGTTATAAACAAATAATGGGTGTTAAAGTCTGGATCCTTGTCTACGCTGGAGACCCGGTGGACCTTTGCAAGTATCGTCATGCCAGCCTATTCATCAGGTTTGGTGACGAGCTCCCAGATTGTGGCACTTTGTTCCACATTACTGGTGCGCAAAGGAGTTTTCAGTTTGAGGAACAACCAGGATATAATCCTTTGAAGAGTTCCAAGCTCCGCAACATGGTTGAGGTTGGTGATATTTCTGCTCAAGTGTCGAATGTTCGCTTTATTCTCGCCACCACCGGAGTGCGGAACGGTATCGAAGATGCAGATTGGAATTGCCAAAACTGGGTTGGGGATGCACTCCAAAAGTTTGTTGAGCAAAGATGGCTCAGAGCAGAGCAAAGGGACGTGGCAATCGACCACATGGTGCAAACATGCCTTCAGGCTACAGATGAGAAATGATGTATGTTGACTTCTGTATGAACTATACTTCTCGAAAAATATCAAGACTGACTGATGCCGCATAGGGTGATCAAAGAAAGGATATGTTCAGCTGCTGCCTCCTCAAAGTTCATGACATGTTACACATCGGGGTTATCTCCCATCGATGAGCGTAGCCAGGTATAACTGGACGACTATTCACTAAAATGCTTCCGGCTTGGAAATAAGAAGAACCATTTCAGATTTTCAAATAGCATGATAGATTCTCTAGTGTGGATTCCAAGTAACTCTTTCTCAAAAAGCTGAAATTGATGACAAGAAAGAAATTCCTACATACTCCTCCTCGTAACAAGGCGGAAGCATGTAATTAAAATAGTCTGGCCATCCAGGCATTGGATTCAACTGCCTCAAAGCCCTGTAGTGTTCCCAATATTCTGGATACCACCCAGCGTCCTCCCAGTCAATAATTGCAGTGATATTGCCATGTTGATCCACAAGAATGTTTCGCGGCGCCAGGTCACCATGGGAAAAGATAATGTCGTGGTTTTCTTTAAGACAGGCTTTGGCATAATGTCGCAGAGTTGATGGTGCCTGTTTAATAATCCTCGAAAGAAGGAATTCATTGAAATCCTTTTCATTGTCGAATGGTCCGCAACTTACACGATCATATCGACCAACCGTCGCTTGGCACCGATTCAGCCCGCCAATAAACGACCCTTTCAGGCGACGGAGTTGGGATATATAAGAACCAATTTGACGGGTAGCAGATATCCTTTGGTCGTGAGTCAAGGTCTCCCAGGCTTCTTCAAGGGGAGTGCCAGGCATGTAGTCCATAACAATTGCTTTTCGGTATCCATCCTGACGTACTGCGTGCACACGAGGAACAGGGATAGTGGTGTTTTCCGCCACAAATCGCAACGTATCTGCTTCATTGATATTGATCGACCCAGACTTAACTACTTTGTCCTCTCCATAACGGATGACGGTTCGATTTCCCAAGGAATGTATGACCTCACCCCCATCGTCAAATTCAAAAGACATCTGGTATAAAAAGAGGGCAACAAGAATCAATCTCAATCTTCCAACCTTATTCGCATATGTTGCAAAACAGAAATCGGAGTCCAGGGTATAAGAAGTGGCTCAAAGTTGACGGCGGCTTGCTTTTGTTTGCGGAGTATGTTGTTGGGTTCAACTAGCCGTTGGACAAAACGCAGATATATTACCAACAACAAAACCAGGGTGAGCCGAACTCTCTGAGTTTGGTCGTGGAAAGAAAGTCAGGTCAATGTGCGCGATTTTCAGCCATGATATTTAACGGTGCATGGAAGATGGGAGATATAGGAGGAGGGAGATGCATTTGTGAGAAATAATCAGCTGGCCAAAGTTCTCCAGGGCTGTTTTTGGCAGCCTTCCTCTCGGTCAGCTTAACACATAAAAGTCCGCTTTTACTCATTATGGTTAGGGCAATCTCGGAGGGTAATTCTTTCGGTTTGATTGGCTTAGCAGTGACCGCCAACATGAACCTGCCAACTTGCCAAGTATCATGGCCCCAAGGGATCATCCCCGTTCCACAAAGGGAGGTAGCTAAACTATCAGACGTACGAGGGACAAGATTGCTGTAAAACATGTAATCTGCGTACAATCCGAAGCCCCAGGTTTCGCGGAATAAAATGCAGACATGGAAAATTGAGATTTAGCAGAGCAGATACGAAGTTAAAAATCGAGTCACACGACGATATTCTACTACGATTATATAAACCAACCCCTCAGCATTTATCGAAGTGCCAGCGATAAGCCATGCCCCCAAATTTATAACCTCTGACAAGCCAATCATATTCAGCTTCAAAGAACAGCGCGCGCTGTGTGAATGGTAAGTTACAGCGACCGTCAATGACTTTCTTCGATTTAGTTCAGGTTCTCAAACCTTACCATGATGGAAGTGTCCCGTTGTAGAATGAGTAATGAGCAAAGTTCTGGGTGAGTGGTGTATCAGAAACTCACTTACATCGTCATCGAAGAAGCATCTACAAGAAGATAAGATGCAACAATGACCCATAGAGGAGGACACTTGGGCAGCTGAAGAATCCCAGAGTCGCCAGGAGGAGGTTATAAAGAAGGAGAGGGAGAGGTGGGCGAGAAAAAAGTCGGAGACGGATCTTAGAGAAGTATTATGAGCACTGCAGACGACGCCTTGTCTGGCTCTTGCTATTGTTTAGGATGCTAACTACTGAAACTTCTCACTCACATGACCCTTCAAGCTTTAACAGGAACTTGAGAAGTGGCATGATGAAGAGTACCATATATATTTGCCCATCTATGGGAACTGTATGGTTGAACATTCTTCTGAGAAACTTTCTAGAGGTAGTTTGAAAAGCTGAACATTTGATAAAACTAACTGATCTGATTTAATATATGATTAGTTCTTGTAGAGATTAGAGCTTTGTCATATTTTTATTCATGTTAATAAGTTTAAATTTATATAAAAATATAAAATATTAATAATATATCTCTTTATATATACTTTTAGTTATTTGTACCTTTTTTATCTTAAAATAAATAATATTATTAAAAGTTAACTTTAATAACTTTAAAATATAGTATGATTAAATAAATAATCTTTATATTAAAATTTTCTTTTATTATATAATAATATTTTATTTTTGATTTATAGAGAGTTAAGAAATTTTTTATACTATATTATTTAAATTATATACTTATCTTTAATAATAATATTAAAATAAAAATATTATTAATATAATATAATATTTATATATTTTTTATTAATTATATAATAATTTTTATTTTTTTATAAATAATTTAAAATAGTATAATTTATTATTTAATTACTAATTTAATTATTTTTTTATTTTAGTATAAAGTAAATTATATATTTATTTAATATTTTAAACTTTATTTTTTATAGAATAAAAAAATAAATTTAATAAGTTTTAAATTCAATTATAGTTAAAAATTAATTATTTACTTATTTTGTATTTTTACTTTATAATATTTTATTTTAATCTTTTTTTATATTTATAAAAGTTAATATATATTAACTTCTTATTCTAACTATTATACTAGTTATCTTATCATAAAGTTTGAGTATATTTATAAGAAAAATTAAATTATTTTTCTTTATATATTAGTATGTTTATCTTATATTTTCCAGTTACTAGATGTAAGTATTTTTGCAATTTTAAAGTAAATAAATAGTAGTTTAAATAAGTAATAAACGTAGTTTAAATTTAATTACATATATATATTTTATAGTATATATAATAATCATCAAGACTTAAAATATTCTGAGCAGCTTTATAACTACTAAAAAATAAATAACATCTTTTTCAAAACTTAGCCAATTTTTGGAATTTTGATTCAAGAATACTCTTATTGAAAAGCCCTTACTGAAATTGATCAGTCTCTCAATTTTTATACTATTCAGATAAGATTTGAAAGGTTGATTATTGAAAACATACTTTTCTTTGAAAAGTGAATATTTAACAATAATTTTCATCATCAACCCACAACACTTGATCTAAAAAGTGTGAAAATTGAATGACTAAGAGATTGATTAGGTCAAAATAATCTAGACAGTTTTCAAAAGCATTCATCAAGTCATTGTTAAGAAAAGACACATTCAAGCTCTTTGAAAACTCTGTCAATTTTGATTTTCTTCTCATCACATCAAGTATCTTTTCAGACTGTCCTCATCAAAGTTTGCCTAGATATAGTAGAAAAGATATCTGTGGAAAATGAAAAGCATGTGGTCTAATATTTCTGCATCTAATCTCTATAGACTATGAGTTAAAGATTAGAACTAGCTGAATATAGCTGAGAATAGAGGCAAGCTAGAACTAAGTGCATACTTATAAGGCATTTCATAGAATTGAACTTTAACTAAATCTTTAATAAGTTTAACAGAGCTCAGTTAAAACTCAGTTAAAATCAACTGAAGCTTTAACTGAATTTGATTAAGCTATAGTAGAGAAGATGTTAAAATATGAATGTGAGCTGCATAAGAAGAAAACTCTTTGCATTGCTAACTGCTATATAATAGAATACTAAGCTTGATGAAATGAAAGTGAGTACTAGAGCCTGCTCAGATTATAACAACCTGCATGATCATGTGATCATATGATAAGAGTTAGGCCAAATCAGATGCTGAGTCTAATCCAATATTGAGTCTAATCTGATGCCAGACCTTGGTCAGACTCAGTTGAGTGCTGAGTCTAACAGAAGGTATTTTAGTGAGATTTGAAGATTTCTCTTCAAATGTTAATTTTTTTCTGATTTCTCTTCAAAAAATCAGAAAAATCTTATTTAAAATTCAATTTTTTCTTTAATAAAAAAAAATTTAAATATTGAATTTACATCTATTTTGAAAAATTAAGCTATATATTAGTTGTGTGAGGAAAATTTCTTCAATATAAATAGAATTAATCAGTTTTTAACAATTTTTCTACAAAATATTATATTTTTTTACTAGTTTTTTTCTATTAACTGGTATTTCTTTTTTAACTTAATCAGAATTGAAATTATTTATTACTCACTTCTTCTATATCTTAAAAAATATTTATAAAAATTTTATTAGTTATCTTAAAAATCAATCTCAGTTTATTAAATTTTCTTGAAAAATTTAGTCTAGTTATTGAACTAGTAGTAAAATTAGAAAGATTTCTATTAAAACTTGTTAAATCAAGTATACAAGAACTATAGATAGAAGTCAAAAAATAAAAAAAAAATACTTTCTATATTTAAAATAGAAAAAGAAACTTAAAAAAAAACTTATTAAAAACTTTTTAAACAGAAGATTAAAAAAAAAGAAATAAATTAATAAATTAAACTAAATAACTTAATAATCTAAAGGTTATAGTATTTATTTTAAAAAATCAAATAGATGAAGAGAAAAATCAGAAGATTATCAATCTTTTAATATCAATATCAAGGCAAATTCATAAGATCATCAAGTTTAAAGTAAATATGATTAGCTCAATTAGATATATTTTACTTTAGTCTTAAACTAGTCAATCTAGACAGAAAGCTCTTATTTATCTCAATTAAAATCAATCAAAAGTAGTATAGAATGTAGTTAAAAAGTCTACTTTTGTATAAATAACTGCTACTACTATTACTACTTCTATTCAATTAGTCTTTGAAAGTATCAGAGAAAAAAAAGCTTAAAATTAGAGAAAAAAATTTAAAATAAAAAAAGTTATATTAGTTAAAAAAATAATATCTTATTATAAAGCTCTTAAATAGAGAAGCAATAAGCTAACTTTAAAGTTTAAAAATGATTTTTAAGTTAAGAAATAAGCTAAATCAAAGTTTGTTCTTAGTAGTAATAAATAAAAAGATAATTTCTACAATTAATATCTCTTTTATGAGAAACTTTATAGTAATTATCACATTGTCTAAATTCTCAACTAACTTTCTGATTAAAAATAAGAAAGAATAGAGATTTCTACTGAAAAAAAACCTATAAACAGAGATTAAATTAGATAAAATAAGAAATGAGGAAAATCAGTTATTTACAATATTTTTAATAATATTTTTAATGATAAAAAAGGTATGATAGTACTAAAAAAAGAAATAAAAAAATTATAATTCTATAATTCAACTAAAGAATAATTTTATTTGATTGAGTAAATCTGATATTAGATAAAAGAAAAAAGTAAAATCAATATTAATTGTAACTAAGTCTCTAGAACAGACAAAAATCTTATCACTTTTTATAGCTGATCAAGTGCTAAAAACTTTTAAATATATTGACTTTAAATTCATAGTTAAAACTCATATTCAATATAAATGATGTCAAAAATAAAGTCACTTTATAGAAGTTTATAAATACTTTATAATATATAAGATTTATACAGAAAATCATAGTACAATAGATCACACTTGTATTATATATAATATAAAAAGTAAATAATGTTTTTATATTATAGTTAAGTGTAAGGATTACAAAGAAAATCATATATCAACAGCTTTAATTTACTCTTTTTATTTAAAGAATAGAAGAAATGAAGTCTCAAAAGAAATTA